AGGTTTCTTCCAGAGAACTTAAAATATAATTATTCGATTAAATTAAAATAAAACCCAATTATTGTGAAAGATCTTGGTCATCTGAATACTATTAATGGCATGAAAGCTATTATCTCTCCTCTGGGCACTTTTTAGTAAGAGAAAACTGGTTTAGCTTAAATGATGTAATAATTATTGGGACTTCTCTTAGATTGCATGGAAAAACTTGGATTAGACTGTAAGCCTCAGGAAAATGTATTGAAGTAAGAAGTGTGTGAGGTAGTATAATTTAATTCCAATTTCAAAGCTATTTACAGATAATTAAAAGATAACAACAAAGTCATTTATAATCAATATAGAAAACATGATATGTGTTGTCCGACATACTTGACGAAAAGTTCTGGCCAAGGATGAAGAGGATTTTCTACTTCTCTGGTTCCATCCCAAGCCGCCTCTGGCTGTCGCATTACTGTTGAATAGTTTCGGGTCTGCATTAATGTTACTAAAACAGGGATGATGAAGCCTGAACTGATCGAAATGCAATTCCCAACAAGCATCACTTCAATGAGACCTAAAATATGAAAATAAAAAATCACAAACTTATACATCAGTGTAATAAATTATTTTAAATTACAAGTCGTTCTAAAGAATAATTAATAGTAATTGAAAGAATAATAATTATTTTTATATTGTCTTCAATCAAGCATTCACCAGAGTTATGATTCCGAAATGAGTTTCTTACAAATAAAATGCTATTTCAAACAATCAAACTGCATAAAGTAAAAAAAACTAATTTAAGAGTTTCATAAAAACTGGACTAAACCCAAATAAATATTAAATGCATAAATAATTAGTGTGTTTCAATTACTGACTATCATATCAATTGCATTATAGACCATTGTCACTAAGAGTATCAAACAGAGACTTTAAAAAAGAATAAAGACCTCGTACTCAACTAAACAAATCATACCAAATAGGATGTTAAATAATTCCTCGTGATGAATGATAAATTTGATATCACAAATATTAATCCTATCAAAGCGTTTTTCGACTTGGTATAAATATTTGTAATAGAAAAAAATTGGAAGCCATGAATTTTTATGAGAAACTGAACTTTCCCTTACCTAGTAATAGCAATTCCATTTCTGCAATCGTATTTCTTATTTCGCATGTTGCTAAGTCATATATAACTTATACATATATTTAATGAAGCCTTTATCTTTTTAACATATCTATTCAATTTTTATCTATAATTTGCCAAAATATTACCTTAATAAAACCTTAGACTGCATCAGCTTAATCATCATCTTTGAGATATAATTAACAAAGGGAAGGGAATTACTGAAGCAATTTGTCCATTATTTGTTGCAGATTTCTAGTTGATTTATGCTTATTTTTATCATTTATAAATAAATATTATATAAATGTAAAGTGTCTAAATTTAAAATGTTTAAATTTACCAGTACAGTTGATAAAAAGGTCCACTCCGCTGTAGGCCAGAATGCCCGCGTAAACTAGCCATATGACAATGCCTAGTATGGCCCCAAACCAGCAACCCAATATAACCGCCCAGGCCGTCAAGCGTCCCCAGGCTGCTGTGTAACAGATTGGCCCGACTGCGGACCCGACCAGGATGCCCATGAAATTGTACCACCAACTTTGGTTTATCTGGAGATATTATATTTAGATAGAAAATGGAATAATACAAATGGAGCTTAACGTAATTAATATTCTAATCAGGGCAGATATACAACAAGAAATAATGCAGCCCTTTGTTGATTTGAAATATTTGAAATGGATGTGTCACGGTTCATTTTAGATCTAAATAATAACCTATTATTTTGAATATTTAAATACTCTGAAATTCTGTAGAAATTATCCATATGGATAATTCAGATTTCTATTTGAAATTAAATATGACTATCCAAATTAAATTTCTGTAGTTCTTTAATTTTCTTTGCATCTGGCATTAATAAAACAATAAGCTTCTCCTAATCAATGATCGCCCAAAATTTTAAGAAATATTAACAAATTTAGTTGCTATATAACTAAATTTACTGCAGATTGATTTTGAAACTGTATGCATCTTCGAGAATACTTTAGGGAGCCTAGCTCAGTTTTTGTCTTCTACTCTTACAGAAATCTTTCTAAATCTTTGAAATATGAATAACCTGTCATTTGTCATTTTATTGAACTAATTTGGTTCTACAGGTAGCCCTACCAACTGTTGATGCAGACGGTGATTTAGGTGAAACAATGTGGAGTATATCTTGTCGAAGAGCTGAGGTTATAAGTCTAACTGCGAATTCTCCCAAGTTGCAAATACAAGATAGAACGAATTCCATATTTTTTATGAGAAGGTTGGTTGTACTAGATCACTTTATTGAGAGCAAAGCT